CTGGGGGGTTCTGGGAGTTGCAGTCCACACATCGTAAAGTTGCCAAGGTTGAGAAACACTGTTCTAGCCTTTTCTTGTTGGGGAAGTGTCCACATTTCTTGGTCATTTAGATTGTCCTCTTCTGCACTTTTTCCAGCTGTATGACTTTTTCAGAAGTCTATTGTCCACAGATCTCAAGAAGTAGACGCACAATAGATTGGATAGGGGCATTACAATGTTGGCGTTTTTATTTTCAACCTCTTTCCTACTTATGGAAATTTGCCTTTTTCACTGCTGCTACATGCTGAGTCAACATCATCATTGTGCTGTCCACTATGACTCCAAGAACTTTCTCCTGATGCATTTCAGACAGCTCAAACCCTAGCGGTGTGTATGTGAAGGCAGTATTTCTTGTCCCAACACACATCACTTTACCATTACCGTTACTTAGAGAAAATTGCATTTTATTTATTTATGTTATTTCTGTGGCTGCATATAAATCACAAAAGTGACTCTGGTTGGCTTTCAATTGGTTGGAAACATAAAAACAAAAGAACTCAAAATCAAACACAGCAAACAACCAGAACAGAAGAATAACAGAGGCCAACTATCACATTCCAGATCTTTCATTTCTGGATGGGCTCATGGGGGAAGAACCAGGTTTTCAGGACCTTAAGGATGGCCAACAGGGCTGAGGCTATCCCAGGGATCCCCAAACTCATTAGCTCATCAACCCCTTCATTAAGTTTCAGACTGTTCATTGATCCTCAAACATTTATTATATGAAAATAATTTCACAAATTCTACTTTAGCTAATAGTACTACTAATAAAAATAACAATAGCATAATCATAATTGGTCCCATGGATACTCCTATCAACCTTTGGGGGTTGATACTGACCACTTTGAGGAACCTTTGGGAAATGTTCCATAGGCACATGCTACAACCTCCAGGTGACTTTGTTTTGTAGAAGCATGGCCACGCTGCCAGATCTCATGGGATGAGCAGAGAAAATTGGAGACAGGTGGTCCTGCTAATAACCTGTCCCTGTGACATGAAGGGCTTTATAGGTGATAACCAGCAGCTTCAATTGCACCTGGAAGTCTACAGGGAGCCAACACAGCTTGCAAAGTAGTGGTGTGACATACTGAGGTGTACCCACAACTACTTTTGCCACTGCATTCTGGACTTTTTTTTATCACACCCTGTGGATACCCCTGGGTAAAGTGATGGTTTCTTGAGGGGGCACACCCCCACTTCCTTCAAAGCAGGTGGAATGACCCTCTCTTTCAAGGATGAATTTACCACTGCACAGATCTACCATATATCATCTCATGGAAGGCCTTAACCGTGCAGATGGAACACGGATCTGATACTGTAAATAGGTGTCCACTTCATGAACAGTTGCAACATCAAACATTTCCCAGGTAAGACAAGACAAGGCCATGTCTCGGTCAACCCAACAGGACCTGCCCAGTCAGAGTCTAACTCAGAGTGGATCTAAGCCACTTTAGCTGTTAGATGCCTGAAGTTTTCTTCACAACAGCCCTGTAGATGTTCTTGTCCTCCAGCCATGATCTGGACTCCATACTTTCCTTAATCAAGGCAATACGTGCCTTTTCAGTGCCTGCATCACACTGCTGGCTCAAGTTTAACCTGTGGTCAAGAAGGACACCTAGATCCCTCTATGTGTACTACTCCACCTTCCTATATTTGTCGCTCACATTTTTCCTGCCAGATATATTTCTGGCTCTTAAATCTCATCCTCTTCATTTCAGCCCACTGCTCAAGCCTGTTAAGATCTTTTTGAATCTTCTCTCTCTCTTCTAAAGCAGGGTTCCTCAATCTTGGCCACTTGAAGATGGGTGGACTTCAACTCCCAGAATTCCTTGCTGGCTGGGGAATTCTGGGAGTTGTAGTCCACCCATCTTCAAGTGGCCAAGGTTGAAGAACCCAGTTCTAAAGTATTCACCACTCCTCTGAGCTTGGTGTCACCTGCAAACTTGATTAGCGTCCCCTTGACTCCTTCATTCAAGTCATGGATAAAAACGTTGAAGCATTTCCGATCCCAAGGATTGGAATCCTGTGATGGGGGAAACCTAGAGCTTGTCCTGAATAAAGCAGTGTTTGTGGCTCATATCAATTCTGCTCTTTACAGTCTACAGCTGGTGCAAATATAGGGACCGAAGAGCTTGCAGGCCGATTTCCAGTCCCCGCTTTGCCTCAGCTTGCATGCTGGAACAAGGCGCTGTTAGGAACTGCGTTTCACATTTTTATTATGTTCTATTATCATATTTCCCCTCTCCTCTCCCTTAATTAAGATGAGTTAGTTAGTGCATGCATCTGATTTCCAGCTTTCTATTATGTTAGAAAAGAACCTTAGCTATTCTGACACTCTTAGTGAATGAGTCAGGTGTTGTGTAAATATATTTATAGAAACGTGTAGTAAATCTAACATCTGTCTTCTTTCATACTTTGCTCGATTCTCCCAGGCTGCCTTTAAATACTAGAATTAGTTCAGCCCTGGGCCCTAATACAGAAATGCTTCAAAAGCTTTTGGGCGGGTGGAGCTTCTCCAAAAGATGCCATATATTTTAACGCTAATATTTGTCTTTCCTTCTCTCCCATTAAATGCCGAGATATGAATTATGTGGCCTGTATTTTAATCAATGTCATACAAGTTTAATTACACTTAAATTCTATTTATTATTTTTTTCCTCCAGGCCCTGCCACTCATTCAACCAGTAGTCATCTGTTTTCAGGACTGTGATCCACAGCACGTTCCCTCGACTTAACCAGAAGGGTGCACCTCTCTCCCGACCGTTCAACTTGCTTGGTACGTTGGCACAGTGTTCATAGTCATGGTTAACTGAGACAGGATTTACTCTATGCAATTCTCCGTGTTTGCATGATGCCCAGAAGCATAAACTAACCACGGAAACTAGGTTCACTCAATCCAAGTCTCACTCAATGCACAAGGCTAAAATGTGATTTGCCGGCCGTATGTTATACAAACATGATTTTTGAAAAAGCTCTAAAGAGGAGGGATCCTATAGCTGTAGGATAACTGGTTAAATGTTGTGGTCAAGAGCACACACTCTTTCCTAATTCCATTTTTTTAACCTGTTAAATCATCAGAATGGTATCGTGGGAGAATCCGTATCACATAAAACTCTCCCCTTTATTCTCCTTTTCATATTAAGTTTTCTTCACTTCCTCTCATCATCTTTCCTCCAAATGTTTCAATGTAACTTTGATGTGGTTTTAAACAGACCTGGCCCATCTTGCTTCCTTTCTTAATGGGGTTCTGGAAATTGGTAAAAAATTAAACTTTCATTTTAGGAAGACACTCAAGCAGTAAGTTTTATTGTATGCCGCCCAGAGTCACGTTTGTGGGACTGGCAGCTATATAAATTTATAAATAAGTGCTTTTTTACGGGAATGTGGTTTTTTAACTGTGTATGTTTTTTTAAAAGGTATCATGATTACTTTCTGCTAAGGTCTGAATGTTTTACGGTTAGATTGTTGAGGCTTTTTTAAACTTTAGTTCTTGTTTTATTTTATTTGTTGCCTGTAACTCTTCTGGAAACGTGCCCCATTCATGTTGAAAATAAATTAGGTAAATAGTTGCACTTCCTTTCTGTCCTCCCTGTGCTATTAAGTATCCAAGAACATAAATCGATCTACTTTATTTCACTTTAAAACGTCCAAGTAAAATACTAGTCATTTCCTAATCTATTCATACGGATGGAAAAGTGCACCTTTCTGCAACACAGAAATGAGAACTGCACAAATGCAATGTTTAAATATATTGTTTTCACATTCCCCTCCTTTCAAACTCGCTTAACTTTATCACCCAGCCAAATCAGAGTTTCTGCTACAAATCTCAGTCAACGGGTAGCTCGAATTACCGCACTTTTAATTCCCACCGAGTAACACTGGGCTTGCTCCTAAATAAACAGGCGTCAGATTGCACCGCACGCCACCTAATCCTGAGAACCCGCTAACACAGGATCCTTAGCTTTTATTTCTTGTAACCTTTTCTCCAAGGGTGCTTTGCAACCGCGATCGTAACCACAGCCGTGCAACAGGTCATCCTTTTCCAGAGCCGGAGATGCAGCCACGGGAATAAAGCTCTACCTGTTGCAACTCTGCCTGGTGATGCAGCTGTTCATGGATCAGAGCGATCGCTGCTCGCCCCCTCCCACGCCAAAAAGGAGAGGCACGCTAATCCCCAATTTCTTTCTTTTTTTTTGCAAAATTAACACCCGCCTGTTTCCCTTGGCTGGCGGAGCGC